TTTGTCACTGAGAGAGTTCTGACTAAGACTGAATGAAATGCACAAGGTGTGAACGTTTGCTACTCGAAAAGCCGTTTTACTTTTGTGTGGTTTTTGTTTTTCGTCACTTGAAAATTACTTTGGACTCGGAACAACCAATGTTAAAGGAAAAACGGATCATTCCGTCAGTCTGAGGTGGAATAAAGAGTTTTGAACATTTCCAAAGAGGCGAGTATTTTTTTGATTGTTCATTCGATTTATTTGTGAGTTGATTTCGCCTTCTTTCGCCGGGCTGAATTAAAACCCACTTTTTTTAAAATTAGTAAATACTTTTTCATATGCCCAGATTTATTCCCTTTGTAAAACCAGCTTTATCCTTCTCTTCAGTCAAAGAACCATTTTGTGCGCCGTAAAACTTTCTCGAAAATACCGGTAGAAGGCCAGTAAACTTACTCTAGAAGAAAAGAATCATTTTTCTGCTGCTCAAATACTATAAGTAGTCAGAGTTTTCTTCACTTTTAATTACATAGTTTTGTTTTCCACTGCACTGTGAAAGTTTCTGTTCTTTATAAGAAATAACTTTCTGTACGTAAATTTTCCATTTCTCGGGGTTCACTCGCTGTAAAGTAGAGGACAACTGCCGGCAGTCACTTCAAAACAATTGACTCTGCCCGTAACACTGAATTGCTGGAGCTGGATTTCTCTGAAGCGAGCAAAACAAATACCCTTATGTGCAGTTTTCTGAATTTTGTAACGACTGGCTAAGTTTAATTTGCTTGAATGAAGACCCTCACATGGACCAGTTATTCACTGAGTTATTAAAGCGAGGAGAAGAGCTACATGGTGAATCATGGTTTAGCTGCGAAGCTCACTGCAACTGATCTTTTGCTTTTAAGATCTTTAGGTTTGTCAGCAAGAAGTTTTTGCAATAATGTAATTTTATCTTTGTTTGAAGGAAATCCTACTTACGTGTAGGTTTTTGACAGATGTTATGCATTTTCAACTTGACAACACAAAGCATAATTTATATTTATCTCTTAGTACGCGAAACGATCAAGTTTAAAAATAAACTATAGTTGCTTTAAAACCGATTTTTGGGAAGATTTTACCAGATAAAGATTGACCTTTTTTCTGCCCGCATATCAACGCAATAACTTCTACATTGAGGATTTTGTTTATATTTTAGTTATCTGCGAAACTACGAGTGTCCGATCGAGTGAGGCTTTAAAATATCAACTCGAGTGCGACAAGTTCAGTGCCTTCAAACACATTGTGGGCAAGCGTTAATTTTTTGGGGCAAATCACTGTCCAAAGATATGTTGTTTTTGTGTCCACAGTGGAGCTCCGGACCTTATATATCCAGGTACTTCCTTATATGAACACATTTTGTGAATGCATCTTGAAAAAAATCGGACCTACGCATGCACATTTCCAGTACAACGCAAGGAAATTGATGTCGTTAAAGTCCGTTTTACTATGAGGTATTCTTCGAGAAAATTAAGTAACGACAAGGTTATAACCACAGCTTGCAACTTTTGAAGACAAATTGCCTGTTCTTTCCAGGTTATGAGTGGAAACATCTTATTTTTAGGCAATAAAATATTTGAAATCCCGCCATTTTTTCAAACCCGGCCAGGGGATCTGGGCAAAAAAGTTCACGCATGCTCATTACGTTTTTCCGCCCTGAAGTTCTGCGCAAGCCTCTACGCATCCCTTATCGCCTGCGTTTGTTTGTCTCGTTCTGTGAGAGTTCTGACTGAGACTGGATGAAATACACGAGGTGTCAAAGTTTGCTCCTTGTAAAGGCTTTTTTTTTGTTTTTTTTTTTGTCGTTGTTGTTGTTTTTTCGTCACTTGAAAATTACCTTGGATTCAGAACAACCAATGGTAGAGTAAAAACAGATCATCCGTCGGTCTGAGGAGGAATAAAACGTTTTGAACATTTCCAAAGAGGTTTGTACTTTTCTAATAATTGTGCATTCGATTTGTGAATTGATTTTGTGTCCAGTGCTTCGCCTTCTTTCGCCGGACTGAATTAAAACCCACTTGTATTCTGTTATTAGTAGTTACGGTTAGTTTTTTTACGTGCGCAGACTTATTTACCTTTGCAGAACCAGCTTTATCCTTGTCTTCAGTCAAAGAACCGTAATGCTATCGCTTGCGAGTGAACAAACTTGAGCGCTTAAAACTTCCTCGGAACTTTAGAAGGCCAGCAAGCTTACTCGAGAAGAAAAGACTACTTCGATCATTTTTGTGTTGCTCAAGTAATAATAGTCAGAGTTTTTTTCCTTTAGTTTCTTCAGTTTTAATTACATAGTTTTGTTATCTTTTTGTACGCAAATTTTCCTTAGAAGTAGCGGAGAACGACAACTGCCGGCAGTCACTCCAAAACAATCGACTCTTTGCCAGCTGGATTTGACTGAAGGGAGCAAAACAAATCCTTATGTACAGTTTTCTGTACTTTCTAATGATTCAGTTTGCTGAGTTTAATTTGCTTGACTGAAGACCCTTGCATGGACCAGTTATTACTAAAAAAAAGTAGCTAATCTAGCAAAGTAGTCGGAATCATGGCTTGGCTGCGTAGCTTGCAACTGATCTTTTGCTTTTAAGATCTTTAGGTAGGTTGTCTCCGTACAGAAAATTCACTTCTTTTTTGTCAGCAGGTATAAGAGCCCTAAGCCTTATGTTTTTTTAACGAAAATTTGTTGTTTTGCAACCTTATTGAAACTTTTTTTAGCGGAGCTCCATAGCTACCGTCGATTGCATCTACCCGTGAACGCACGCGCGCAAAACATGTTTTCACGTGACGTCAAACGTCTGAGTTTCAGGTGTCAAACTTTGAAGTTTTCCCGCCCAAATCTGAAGTTATCCTTCCCGGCACTGCTCAAAGGGAAGATGTTTTCAATCAACAAGAAAGGAAGAAATTATCAAAAAGGTGTCCCACTTTCAAGCGATTTGCGGAATCAAGTAAAAGAACTTGCGCAGGATTATTGTTTTTCAGAAGTTGGGAGAAGATTACGCATCAGCAAGGGTTCAGTTTCAAAAATCGTTAAGCAGTACAACTTGACTGGAAGCACGGCTCCCAAAAAGTTGAATCACGTTCGAACAGTTCCTAAGTGTACTTTCCAAGACTCTATTCTGTTGGAGACCATGGTGCAAGCAAGAGGTTCGTCCTCTCTTAAAGAACTGCGTGATGATTTGGCCATTCACGGTGACTGCGGAGAACTGTCAACATCAACAATTTCCAGAAATATTAGGAACAAACTCCCAAGTGGCCGCAACTATTCCCGAAAAAGATTGGGGAAATGTGCGTCGGAGCGTTTTACTCCAGAAAATATAGTGTACACTCAGTTGTACATTGACTATTTAAAAGACAAAGATCCTTCCTCTGTTAAGTTTTTCGATGAGTCAGGTTTTCAACTGCCTGATGCCGGTCACAGAAACTTTGGTTTCTCACCTGTCGGTGAAGATTGCGTAGAAGCGCGAAGATACTTGTCTACCGCAAACCTCACCCTGAACTTTCTGGTTGGGTATGATGGAGTAAAATATGGAAACACCATAGAAGGAGCGTCGAACTCTGTACAGTTTTTACGATTCTTTGATGAGGCTTCCCAAACAGTTGATCCAATAACGCAAAGACCAATTCTCGAAGTTGGCGACATTGTTGTGGTGGACAATCTAGCCGCGCATCATGGCGAAGCGGAAAGAGCTCTGCGAAGCTTCCTAAATGATTTGGGAATGGAGCTCATTTTCCTCCCAGTGTATTCACCAGATCTGAATCCTGTTGAGGAGGTATTTTCGAAGCTGAAATATTTGTTGAAGTACAGATACCAGGAACTAGTGTGGGATAACCTGGAATACGCAGTGTTGAGAGCGATCGGGGATGTAACAGCGGCCGACATGTACGGCTACTACAAGCATGTAGGATATTTTTTTTGAGAGACAGAACTGTAATTTGGAACAAATACAGTAATATTATTATTGCCATGGACGAGTGAGAAATAGAGTAAAATAATGTAGTCATCTGACCCAGAAATGTTGTTGCCAAAGACTGTACTTAATTGTTTGAAACTCGGCTATAAATTTGTTTACTAAAAATAAAACTTATAATGTTTCGGCGGTTTTATTTTCCGCCAAATTTTGCTCTGTTATTATCACAATATGTAATGCGAAAAGCCAAAAGTAAAAAGGCCTGTTACTAACACAACTCCGAATGTATTTGTCAAGAGTTTTTTCGTTACAGTATTTTTACAAAGTCCGGTTCTTAGAGGACGCTCGCTGTGTGCATTCCCTTGCATGAAATAGTATGGTGTGAACACACTACAAGCACAGAATAATACCCCATCAAATATTAAACTACAATAAAAAGTCAATATTGTCTCACAGTTCGTTTCGATTTATTGAATTTATCGGACAAAACGGCAAGTTTAATTGATCAGTTAATAAGTTTGTGCACGCATAAACGTACACATGAGAAAAAAACAACAATCGATGTGCGGTTTCGAAAACAAATGATTTTTCTGTTACAAAACATCCTAACATTTTACTGCTTAAACGAGGAAAAACGGATGTCAACAAGTCAGAAACTAGCTGTGACAGTAAAATTATTTACGGTAAAATAGAGCATGCAGGCCACGTAAAATACCGTGCACAAAGCTTAAAAAGTCAGTTTCATTCACTCCTTTGAAGTCTTTGAAGACTTGAAGGACAGCAAAATATTGTCCGCGTCCTTAGTTTGTTCTATGTGTTATTGAAATCAACTTATCTGAGAAAACGGCAAGTGCTAAGTTTCCGCATAAACGTCCACATGCAAAAACGACAATCGATCTGCAATTTCGACAAAAAATGAACTTTCTGTTTCAAAACATCCTAACATGTAACATTTTACTGCTTAAACGACAAGAGAAAAAGGATGTCGACATGGCAGAAACTAGTTATGATCTTACAATAACAGTAAAGTTATTAACGGTTAATCGAGCACACAGGCTACGTAAAATACCGTACACAAAGTCAAAGTTTCACTCATTCCTTTGAAGACTTGAAGGACAGCAAAATATTGGCCACTTCCTTAGTTTGTTCAGTGTTATCGCCATTATCAAATGGTATGGAACCAAGAGACAACTGTTTAGCCATGCAAAGCTGTTCTTCCTCTTCCTCTACTGTATTTGGCGACAAGCAGAAACTGGTTGAGCTAGTAAAGTCTCGCCGATCAGGGAAAGTTACACCGTAGCTTTCGAGCAGGACTCTGGTTTGCGAGCAATCAGCAGTTGAGCTGTTCGCGGCGGCGCCACGTTCTGGAAGACTTTTAAGTCCAAGACGTTTGTCGTTCTCCGCGGACTTTTTTCTCTCAAGGAGAGATTTCACAATTTCTCGTCGAGGCGGTCCACTGCCCTTTAATGATTTCTTCACAAACGCAATGTCCTGTTGAATTTTCAGCCAATTTCTTGCATTATTTTGGACATATTCTTCAGGGTATTCTTTGAGTAGCATGTCTTCTAGTTGTTTGTTTACAGACCCCTGCACTCTATCAAAAGCTGCTTCCCTAGACCTCAGTTCTTGTTCAAGTTTAGTTGCTGATGTTTCTAATGCTTTTATTTTGTTACTTCTGCTCTTGGAGCTTCATCTTTTCGTCAGGATGTCGCGTTATTTCGCCACAGAACAGGGGCACCCAACGACCGTTTTCTGGGAAATCATCTGAAATGGCTCGTTATGCATCCTGGAGTGCTTTAAAAGCAATATAAATGAATAATTCGCATCGCTAAAAAAATTTGATCTGTTCGGTCGTCCTGGGAGTGGTTTGAACCTCTCGAATTTTTTAGGGCTGTTTTTCGCCTTTCCCGAAAATAACAGCCTACAGTGAAAGCTTTCCGAAAACGTAAGATTACCTTACGAGCTTTTCCCTTGACCGAAATTTTTAGGGGTCCTTTCAAGTTTTCTCCGAAAACTTTATCTAGTGTGAAAATGTCTTCGAATTTTCTAGGGCGACGTAGAATGTTTGGAAATTTTAGGTGCAATAATAATAATAATAATAATAATAATAATAATAATAATAATAATAATAATGAAATAAGAACAAAAATAAGAACAAAAGAAAAGACATTTAAGTGATTTTAAAGCCACTTTCAAACGTCTTGTACCCTGCCGAACTCAATTCGCACGGCACTTACGGAAAAATCTGAAACTGATCTGAAATACGGCATGGCACTGACTGATACAACGCACATTGAACGCAGTCAGCTAAGGCAGAATCAAAATCTAGCAATTACTACGAAAGCTACGAAATTTCTAGGTGCCGAAATCAGAATTTAGAGATTACTACAAAATCCGAAATTCTTAGGTGAACAAACCACACGAATCCCGAAACTCTGAGCCCAACAAACAATCCCCACGAAACATTTTCGAAAATTTTAGCTGTTCTTGGGCTCTCGAAAATTTTAGCCAATCTAGAGGGCTCCGAACAGATATTTCCCAGAAAACGGTCGTTGGGTGCCCCTGACAGAAAAATACTGACTCGCACTTTTCCATCTGACAACTGCGAACAGTATGATTTCGGTAATGGCAATTACTGCATCGTTGGCCGGTAAGGTTATTTTCGGAAGCAGCCTCTTTTATTCTTCGGTAACAATCTTCTAGCACTTTTCGTTTTTCAGCTGCTTCGGCAAGTTTTTCCTCCACAGCGCGTCGTTTTTCTTCGATGAATCTTTCTCCAGGAGACAGTAATTTTCGTCTTATCGTTGGGCGCGAGACGCTGGCTTCACGTTGTGGCCACTGTGCTTCTTGTCCAACACTTGCCTCGCCAGCACTAAGGACAGTTTTTTTCCTCGCCGGAGATTTAGAAGCTGGACTTTTTCTCTGAGAATGAGGGGAACTTAGTCTGCGGTCTTTCACGTACGGGCGTTCTCAGACGGCTAACCATATTTAAGATAAGTCTTTTTATGTCCTTCTGGGATTCCTGCTAGATCGTTTTCTGTTAGATACTTTGCGCTCGCTGTTGACGTAAAACCATTGCTTCGTAATTCACCAGCATATATTAATAAATCTTCATCCACTTCTCTGAGAAAGTCCTCGATACTTTTTCGGCTCTCCATATCAGTGAAAAGATTTTCGCTGATTTTTCTCTGATTTCTTGACCGCGCTGACAGTGAACGGTCAAGAGAACAGAGTGAACCACGAGAACACCGACTCTACCGAGGGAACTTCACATTTGGGCGGGAAAACTTCAAAGTTTGACACCTGAAACTCAGACGTTTGACGTCACGTGAAAACATGTTTTGAGCGCGTGCGTTCACGGGTAGGTGCAATCGACGGTAAGGAAATGTGGTAATCTACCCATCCGAGAAAATTTGGTAATCACGTGACCGTACGCCCGACCGTCCGTCCGCACCACAGGGAAACCAATGTTTTCTCTTACACTTTCTAGCTAGTTTGGGAGCCCAGTAGAAAACTAATTGCACATCAATGTTGTGCTCAGGGGGTGGTGAACTTGGTAGTTTGTTTGTCCGGACGATCTTGGCCATCGTGACGTCACGAAGAGAGAAGCGCGCAACTTCGAGGAGTTTTCGAAAATGGCGCCGTTGTCATTTCCAAATGCTACTTTTAAAGTTGGTTTTCCTGGATATTGACGCTCCAAAATGGTTTTTGTCACGGTAGGATAGTGCAGTTCCAACATCTCTTTCCGAAAAGGTGAGTGAAATGTGTATTAATCCGAAAAATAACGCGTATGAGAGCTGTAAACAGTTTCGGTCAATTTTCTCGAGGGGAATAATGTGCCGCAAAAGTTTGCATGTTCGCACAGTAATATCGCATTTTCTCGAAATCGGTGAGGTGTTGAACATCGAAACTTGGCATAAGGGTGGGTTACTTCTATTGGAAAACATTGTCTCTGAAGTTAATTGAGATAAACTTGCAGAAAAAATTATCAGTCCATTCGAGTGTGCCAGCGTAGCCTCTAAGCTGATGCAATGGTATTCATTACTTTGCTGTTATCTCCAATAATGCCAATAGTATCCCCTATTCAAGCTGTCTTTTCGGGATAAGTAAATTTTAAAGTAGTTTCTGATAGAGGGAAAGTATAGTTGCAACAGCCCTTTCCGAGAAGGAGAGTTAATTGTATTATATTCTGATGATAATTACCTCGTAAACAGTCTAAACAGTTTCAGCCAATTATTTCAAGTGGAATATTTGGCGCAGAAATTTGCATGATCGCATATTAACATCGCATGTCTTAGAAAATCGGTTTGGTGTGGAAATTCGAAACTTGGCAGAAGGGTAGATCAGCAATAGTGGAAAACATTGTCCTTGATGTTTAATGGGAGAAATTAGCAGTAAAAATGATCAGTCCATTCGAGTGCGTTTAATATTGATATAAACAGATGACCTCGACTCGGTTACCCCGGTACAATGTAAGTCAATTATTTTTCGGTTTTAAGAAAAAGTAAACCAAAGACTTCCCTCAACACTATGTATCTATAATAATTACACCAGGAATTAACATAACATATTGTTGAAGCAAAGGATATTTCTCTGTAATACCTATAAGCTTACATTAAGTTTTCATAAATAGCAAAAAAAATTAATAAGATTTACATACAGCTCCAAACATGTACATCTGTTATGCATGAAGCAATTTCATATCGTTCCATATCAATAGTTAGTGCGAATGGAGTCAAACATGTACAGTGAAACTTGTATAATGTAAGCGGACACCACAGAGAATACTGTAGTGCCCACTTAATACAAAGTTTCTTCCTACTACATACAGGTTTCGATAGAAAATGTTATATGAGGCAGACCTGCCAACTCTCACAATTCTGCCGTGAGTCCCACGATTTTTTAACTTCCCACGGTCTCACGACAAGACTCCCAATCTCATGGTTTTCTGGGAAATATTCTAAATTGAAATATTACCTTGTTGAATAAAAACATAAATTTTGTGGGGAAATTCTTGTGCCTGGATGAGCTTTGACTATTTCAGCCATGAAGTTGTCTTAGCCCAAAGAAATTACTCTGCTGTATGTTTCTTCACAGTGATAACCTATTTTCTGGCCTCTTCAAGTCATCAAAGAAAAAGCGGCATCTAATTTGTTACATAAGGGACCACACTAAAGCAAGGTTATATTAACATAAACAGTTGATTCCACTAATGGAAAAGGGGTAGTTTAATTTTGCTCGGGAAAAAATAGAATCTCACTACTTTTTGTAGAATCTCCCGATTTTTTTTCATGAGTCTACAGATTTTCCTTATTAGGGGTTGGCAGGTCTGTATGAGGAGCTAAGTACCATTCAAATAAAAGGCAGAAACATTTGGAATACTTCCAGAGATATGATGATATACATTTGCATTAATATCTTTATTTGTGCGGAGCAATTAATTAAACCTAGATTGTACCTCAAATTTTAAGATATCAAATGAGTGAAACAAGCTTTATACAAACAAAAATGAAATGAGAAAGTACTGTAACTCATTTATATAATTTACAGAAGTCCCCTGGTGACACCAGCCAAGTGCTGATAGGGCAAGACTCCCAATCTCATGGTTTTCTGGGAAAGCAAAAGGCATCTTAAAATAACAAAAGGCACATAGGGCTCAGCCGAATGGTACCATAATGACGTCAACACGTATGGAAACAGGCCTTTTCTCCGAAACCTGCTCCATTCCCCTATGGCTATTTTTATTTGCGTTTACCCTACCTCACCTCCCCTCCCCATACCTGATGAAACAAGGGTTTCAACAGTTTGTTGAGATAGGATGCTTTTTGTTTTAAAGGATGAGCTCATCATATTTTATTATCGTAGAGATGGGGGTAAGATAAGTTAACAATAATAGACAGATTATTATAGGTGGGTTACTTATTTTTACAGCTATCCCTGGAAGAAGAAATGGAAGTAAGGAGCTGACTGGCAGCCACTGAGATTGAGCTGAGGAGAAAGAAAATTGAAAGAGAAGAGAAAGAGTTGAAAGGAAAAGAAGAAAGGTTAAAACAAAAAGCAAAAGAAATTAAAAACACAGTAATAGAGGCGAAGCGGGTAGCTGCCCAACTGCAACGAATGGCAGGGCAGCTAGACTGCTTGGCTAACCAAATTCTAGAAGAGACCAAAAATTAAAGAAGAAGTAAAAGAAAAACACCAGTGTAAGAAAATTTTATTGATAACAAACTGTTTCTTTTAATCAAAGTCAATGTGCAAAGTTTTTAAATGTAAACAAGTCTAAGTCAGACCTGTTATGCAAGAAAGAAAACACATTTGTTCAGTATGTAAAAAATAAAAGGAAACTGGTTCTTCTAATTTCTTGTATCCTGTATGGTCTCTTCTTGCTCCATGGAATCCACTCCATCTAATATCCTCCACTTCCCACACCGCACAACTCTCTTCATGGAATCTATTATACTAGATCTTTACAGACATCCAGTAAGCAGCACCTCCTCCATCATACACTGCTTGTTTTTTCTCATCATCTACAGAGTATTCCCAACTAAGGAAGCACCTAATTA